TAGTAGAGACAGGGTTTCACCATGTTGACCAGGATGGTCTCGATCTCTTGACCTCGTGATCCACCCGCCTCGGCCTCCCAAAGTGCTGGGATTACAGGCTTGAGCCACCGCGCCCAGCAATTTTTGTACTTTTTAGTAGAGACGGGGTTTCACCATGTTGGTCAGGCTGGTCCTGAACTCTTGATCTCAGGTAATCCACCTGCCTCGGCCTCCCAAAGTGCCGGGATTATAGGCGTGAGCCATCGTGCCCGAACTAGTACTCTCCAGTTTTGAACTACATGGCTATTGAACTTAAGTTGCCTACAGCCATGAAAAGTAAAACTCTCTCCTGACACTGCTTCAACAGCTCTCACTACTTTTTAGTCTGCTTTTCCAGTAGCTCCTTAATCATTAACTTTCAGATCCAACCATAGGCCAGTAATATTCCCGGGAAGACAATAAAATCAGAACAATCCTCATGCACCTGAGTAATTTTCATGCCACCTGGCCAAGGCCAAGTAACTATTGAAGACCACTATGAGCCCCAACTGCAAATGTAACTTAAATGCCCCAAATGCCATGTAACTTAAAAGACAGGGAACATTTCACTCCTGGAAAAATATCAAGAGACAAACCCTATGGGGTTCAAGCACAGATGCCTTGTCCTTAAATCACATATTCCAAAGTAAGGAATCTATTACTCAAGATGAGTTTGCGTTGGCGCCATTGTACTCCAGCCCGGGCAGTAAGAGTGAAACTCCGTCTCAAAAAAAAAAAAATCCGATCCCCAATTTTGGAAGTGGGGACCTAATGGGAGGTGTTTGGGACATGGGGGTGGAACCCTCATGAACAAATGAATGCCCTCCCCACCACCAAGGGATAAAAGGACTATTATCCCATTCGTTCTTGAAAGAGCTGATGAGCGATGTCTGCCGCTGGATCCAAGCAGGAATGACAGGACATGTGCAGTATGTTTCACAACCCTGGGCACTCCAGCTTCTGCCCTTACCAGAGAGGGGATCTGAAGTAGCTGGTGTGTCCCGTTTCATGAAGGCTGCTTCAATAGCTTGGCTGAAGGCTATTTTGAAAACTGGGCACAGGAACATGGTTTAAAAGAGCCTGAAACCTCCTCCCCTCCTTGCTTCCTCTCTTGCCATGTGATCTCTTCACAAGCAGGGTTCCCTTCACTTCTTGTACCATGAGTGGAAGCAGCCTGAGGCACTCACCAGATGCCCAGTCTTCCAGCCAGCAGAGTCATGAGCCAAATAAACCTTTTTTTAAAAATAAATGACCCAGCCTCAGACAATCCTTTATAGCTACACAAATGGACCAAGACAGCATCCAAATAAATAGTTTGACAGGTGAATCATTTTACTCTTATAAGGTAACCAAAATATGTCACCTACATTTTATTCTTACGAAAGTGTTTAAATATTTAACCCGAATCCACTCATGAGAAATCACACAAGTCTAATCTGTAGGATATTCTAGAAAACAACTGGCCATGGAAGGAGGAAAAAAAAGGGGGGGATATGAGCAAAGGAATGGTTAATAACTCAAAGGAGACTAAAGAGACTTGACAACTAAATGCAGTGAGTAATGGGATTCTGCCGAGTTGAAAATAAACGACATTGAGACAAATGGGGAAAGAAAAATATGCACACTGTATTAGGTATTATTGTAGCAGTGGAATTTCTCTAATGTGATCATTGTGGTTATATAGGAGAATATCCTATATTATTATGAACAGTATTACTTATTCTTTCAACTCTAAGTGTGAAGTTTTTGAAAATAAAGTTGAAAGGAAAAAAGCAATAGCAGTAAAGACTAGTTAAAAAAAAAAAAAACTTAAGTATTTGGCATAAGTCCTGGGAGCCACTTACTGATCACCTCTGAAGCCCAGCAGTTAATTTTCAGGATCCCCCCACTCCCTTCCCATCTCGCCCCCACAATCATTTCATGATCTTTGACTTTAGGACCCTCCTTACCAAAGTTCAATTCTTGCTTATTTCTCAGTACGAACTGCTATAATTACATGAGAAACATCCATATCATCTACTCTAAAGAGCTGTCAAGATAATGACTCTACACTAGCCTCAAAGTTAATACAGACTTCTTACAAGGGCCCATGTCAGGCTGTCCATCGGTCTTCCTCGTCTTCCTCCGTTATCTGAATACTGAGTATTAGCTTATTATCTTGGAGATTAATAAAGTGGTTTCACAGCAAGCCTCACTAGCCTATCGTACCCCCACACAGCTGCTCTGGCTAGTTACAGTATAACCAGGACACTCTTCCCCTCTCAAAGTGAAGAGAAATAGCTTATTTTATGTAACAGATAAATGTCACCTAAATCAGAGGTCCTAGAACCAGACACCAGTTAAAATTGAAGGTGTATCCCCAGCCCCTACAACAGTATCCAGTACACAAGTATCAAACGATTTTTTAAATATTCTAAACTCTGACTTGCCCTCAGTTATTCTTGGTCTCTTTCCTGGGTACGTCCTACAGTAACATCTGAGGACTAAATCCATGAGCTTTCCTCTTAAGAAGCCTCCCATGTATTAGAGTCAGTGCAACATTGGCCTGTTAAGTCTCTCCTTTTCCAACAGAGGGGCCATCCATGACATAATCTGCCCTCAGCCAACTCCATGCTGCCTAAAGCTCCAACAGCCAGTGAATTTCCCTCCTACCCATCAGATGACTCAATTTATCCAGCCGTATTAGAATGAGAGGTAACAATCCCTGGAGAAAGTTCCCATAATAATAAGCAGCAGAGTTCATGTTAAATACCCTTGGGCTGCTTCACAATTGAAGGATTTACCTGGGCAAAGGAAGGGAAGGGAGAGTCTTCTTCCAGACTCCCAACGCAGAATGAGGGACTGCCCTGACTGGCAGTGGGTGACAGAGGGGTCAGCAGAAAGTCTGAAAGGGAACCAGAGACCTGATTATATTCGTCACGTTCCAAGGAGCGTTCTCTTAACAAGAGAGATGAGTGAGCCCTGAGTCGGGTCTGGAAAATTACAAACCATCCCCTCAAAGAAAAGCAAGCCTTGATCCAACCTTCAACTCTCCCATGTTCTTATAAAGCCAACAATGTCGCCTATGATATCAGTGACCCATACAGGGAGAGGTAAAAGCTTCATGGTTATAGTAACACTAGGAGTCATGGTAGAATCTACTCCTACCATAAGAAAAGTCTTTGCTTTTGAAATGCTGTGCTTTTCACAAAGGCTGGCTCTCAAGGGTAGGTACTGTCAGGGACTAGTTTTATATGGATGAAAAATCTCCAAGAAAAAGATAAAATTTAATCAGCTCAGCCTTTACATTCCTGCCAGTAGACACTATGACCTGGGAGTATGCAGTTAGAATCCAAGACACATCAACAAGAGACAGCATGAGGGTGCGAACCTTTTCCCGATATTCCCTAGGTAACAGACTTCTCTCACCTTTCTAACTAGAGCTGAACACTTACAGATTGGTCTATCCACTGCCCTGAACAGTGTCGGACAAGAGGGGCCCTATTCTCTCTCCCAGCAACATAAGGCCCTCCCATGGTCAGTACACTTATTCCTAGGACCAACCAATTGCTCTTGCTTAAATACATTAAAAGCTTAAACTTTGAGAAAAGCCAGCCGCTGTGGCTCACACCTGTAATCCCAGCACTTTGGGAGACCTAGGTGGGTGGATCACCTGAGGTCAGGAGTTCAAGACCAGCCTGGCCAACATGGTGAGCTCTCATCTCTACAAAAATACAAAATTAGCTGGGCATGGTGGAAGACACCTGTAATCCCAGCTACTTGGGAGGCTGAGGCAGGAGAATTGCTTGAACCCNGGCTGAGGCAGGAGAATTGCTTGAACCCGGGAGGCAGAGGTTGCAGTGAGCCAAGATTGTGCCATTGCACTCCAGCCTGGGCAAGAGAGCAAAACTCCGTCTTAAAAAAAAAAAAAAACACCTTTCAGAGAAGATAGTATGTGAAAGCACAATCTTGTTATCACAGATAGGCTGGGCACAGTGGCTCACGCCTGTAATGCCAGCATATTGGGAGGCTGAGGCAGGCAGATCACTTAAGGTCAGGAGTTAGAGACCAGCCTGGCAAACATAGCGAAACCCTGTCTCTACTAAAAATACAAAAATTAGCAGGGTATGGTGGTGCATGCCTGTAATCCCAGCTACTCGGGAGGCTGAGGCATGAGAATTGCTTCAACCTGGGGTGCACAGGTTGCAGTGAGCTGAGACTGTCCCACTGTGGTCCAGCTTGGGCAACAGAGCTGTCTTTAAAAAAAAAAAAGAAAGAAAGGAAGAAAGAATGGTTATCACAGATAACATATTTAATGATCTGCCAAAGTCCTTTCTCAGGTAAGCAGAAGAGCATCACAGTAGTGCAGTCAGTCCTCGAGAACCAAGTTCTAACCCCAGTTCTTGACTAACCACCTGCCTCAGCCGCAGGTTCCTAATCTGCAAAATGATATGCATGTGATCACAGTGGTCACCAAAAGTTTTAAATATTGCGATGATGGACATTTTGTTAAGAATGCCTGAGAGAGGCTGGGCATGGTGGCTCACACCTGTAATCCCAGCATTTTGGGAGGCCCAGGCGGGCAGATCACGATATCAGGAGTTTGAGACCAGCCTGACCAACATGGTGAAACCCCATCTTTACTAAAAGTAAAAAAAAAATAGCTGGATGTGGTGGTGCATGCCTGTAATCCCAGCTACTCAGTGGGCTGAGAAGGAAGAAGAATCACTCGAACCAGGGAGGTGGAGGCTGCAGTGAGCCAAGATCAAGCCACTGCACTCCAGTGACAGAGTGAGACTCTGTCTCAGAAAAAGAAAAAAATAAATTAATAAACCAGGCAGATGAAAATCATAAAAGACAATTGTCTGAAATTATAGTCAATAACTGTTTAATTTCTTAACACTTTAAATATTCTGGCTGGTCTGAAGGCAGTGAGTTATCTCAATTGATTGTTCACAGTCAGTTACAGATCCAGCTCTTTGTTCTGCTCTTTGCCCCCTTCTCACTACTGCACTTGACTAGTCTTATAAACAAACAAACATTCTTTCTATATAAGACAAAAATTTTTTTAAGGCTAAAGGCTCATTTGAACATTTCAATCCAGTCTCATTCCTTAGAACGTAACACTACTACCAATTTGGAACACACCTGTCTCAGTACTTTTTTCTCTTTTTTTTTTTTTGACAGGGTCTGGTTGTGTTGCCCAGGCTGGAGTGCAGTGGCCCATTCTCAGCTCATTGCAACCTTTGCCTCCCAGGCTCAAGCCATCCTACCACCTCAGCCTCCCGAGTACCTGGGACTACAGGTGCACACCACCATACCCGCCTAATTTTTGTATTTTTTGTAGAGATGAAATTTTGCCACATTGCCCAGGTTGGTCTTGAACTCCTGAGCTCAAGGGGATCTGACACCCAAAGTGCTGAGATTACAGGTGTGAGCCACTGTGACTGGCCTTTCTATATCTTTTTCTTTTTATTTCCTGCCCTGCCTTCTAGCAGAAGTTTTTCTATACATTTAGATATATAAACCCATAATGAAATAATTTTGTGGTGGTTTTCTTTAGCCCACAAATATTTGTTCTTGTTCTATAAGTTAGTTTTATCTTCCCATTAGTCCATGAAGAGAACTATTCCCTTCTTCAGCAGGTGTGAAATATTTTATAATATAAATACTACAATTTAGCCATTTCCCTGTTGGTAGGCTTTCCAGACTGTTTCTTTTTTTTTTTTTTTTTTTTTTTTTTCTTTTTTTTCTTTTTTTTTTTTTTTTTTTTTGTAGCTATTATAAACGCTGCTACAATAGAGACACATAGGAATATGGTTAGGCATACAGGAGAGTATCTCAAACATAAAAACTAGAAATAAAAACAGCTGGGTCACAGGGAAGAATCCAGATTCAACTATCCTGCCTAAAGAGCTCCCTGAGGTTCTCTGAAGCTGGGGGTAAAGCAGTCAGTATAGCAAGTCGGAAAGGTGAATAAATGGCAAGAATCTGATGGACCTTGGGACTACCCAAAGTAAGGTTATGTCCCCGAAGCCCACACCATGCTGAGTGGGCCGGGGTTGTAAATTCAGACACCAAGGCTTTGCATAAGGTCTAGCCAATGGGTGAATTCATTAAATTTCACCTATTTACCTGCATGGGAACCTGGACTTCTGCTCAGAGGAGAAAGGGAGAGGGCCCCCTGGCCCTCAGTGCTGGTGGGACCCAAAGCAGAATCAGAGGAGCAGGTATAGGAATTGAAGGCAGGAAACTGTTGTAGATTCTCGAGGGGAATGTGGACTTCTGGGTCTGCAAAGGAAAGATAACCCTGGTAAACCCATTTATAGAATTATTCGTGTGTGTGTGTGTGTGTGTGTGTGTGTGAGTGATGGGAATCTCACTTTGTGCCCCAGGCTGGAGTGCAGTGGTGCGATCTCTGCTCACTGCATCCTCTGCCTCCAAGGCTCAAGCAATCCTCCCACCTTAGCCTCCTGAGTAGCTGAGACCACAGGCAGGTGCCACCATGCCCACCCAATTTTTTGAATTTTTAGTAGAGATGGAGTTTCACCATGTTGCCCAGGCTGGTCTTGAACTCCTGAGGTCAACTGATCTGCCCACCTCGGCCTCCCAAAGTGTTGGGATTACTGGTGTGAGCCACCATGCCCGACCTGAATTTTTCAAATAATTTCTAACAGGTGAGGATACCATACATGCATACCCCCAAAGGTCTGGAGGATGCAGACAGAAGCTAAAACCCAAATTTATAACTGTCCTTCTATAATGTCTTTGTTTTAATATAGTTAACCTTGTTCTAACTATTCATAATTGAGGGTGGGTGACAAACATGGGTTTTTTTTTTGTTTGTTTGTTTGTTTTTTAAGAGATGGGGTCTCTCTATGTTGCCGAGGCTGAAGTGCAGTGGCTGTTCACGGGCGAGATCCCACTACTGATCAGCATGGGAGTTTTAACCTGCTCCGTTTCCAACCTGGGCCAGTTCACCCCTCCTTAGGCAACTTGGTGGTCCCCCACTCCTGGGAGGTCACCATATTGATGCCAAACTTAGTGCAGACATCTGATCGGCATAGCGCCCTACGGCCCAGAACTCCTGATCCTCCCACCTCAGCCTCCCAAGTAGCTGGGACTACAGGCACACACCACCACACCCTGTAGGGGTTAATATTAATACTGTTCTTTCTACTCTCTGGATATTTCCACAAAAAGTTGAAACAAAAAATCTTATTCCTGAAGTATCCGTTTTCTCAAAGTTCAGGACATGTGCCAAACACCTACATAGTGTTGGGACCCCAGATACATACTCACCCCATTTGAGATATAAAATGTATGTTTCCATACCATTTGGAGACAAAAGAGCAAAGTCCTTTCCTTGGCCAAGGACTCAATTCCTTATTTTCTAGTGGATAATGGGCCCTTGTGTCACACTAATCCCCTAGATTCAATGAAGCTTATTTTGGGGAACCAGATCAAAAGGCTGTGCTTAGTGCCATGAAAGATCTCTTAAATCCACTTCCTGTACTTATTTCCTAGTTTACCAAAGTTTCCACTTTATCAGACCCTCCTGGGAGACTTGCTGTGTTCAGCTGTCCCCTTTAATAGAGAGTTAGAGGTAACGTCAGTGATCCAGACAGCATGGGGGACAATGGCTCCCAGCATTCTTAGTGAAGCCCCAATTCCCATCTCTGGAACAGGTTTACATCACCCACTATTACCAAGCTGAATTTCATCTTAATCCTTACTATGTGCTACGCACTTTGACCGACAGTAACTCAAATTCGCAGGCACGACTATTAAGGAGGTACTCTCATGATTCACATTTAAAAGTTGAAGAAAACAAATGGCTATGGTCTGGCTTCTGGGTCAGTCCCAGACACAAAGTTCCATACAATGAGGCACAGCAGTATTAGTCAAAGATAAGAGTTCCTGAACTTACACTTGCCCTGTTTCTTGTTTTCCTCCATCTCAATCCTGCGCTCTCGGCGGCGTTCCTCCCGAGCCTTCTTTTGGCGTTGACGCTTCCTCTTCTCAATATCATCTGCGGGTTTGTCAGGTCGTAAAGGGGTAGTCCCAGGACAATCTGGCCATTACCTCCTCCCAGTATTAGCAGCTAAGCCCACACCAGTAGGCCCAGCTGGACTAAATGAACAGATGAAGTGTTTGGGAAGTACTAAAAGACTCATACAGCTCCGTAAGTTTCCTCCCACACTGCATTTATAGCCACAAGCATCCCTGAACCCTACTATAAAGAGAAGCAGAGCAGGGGCATTCTCACCTGAGAACATCTCTAGGGTTTCCTTAGAGACCACAGGAGGTTGCAAAGCCAGTTCACAGATGCTGAACTCACAGGTGAGTGGCAAGTGAGAGAGATATCTATGACGCTGTCGAACATCCTACATTGGAAAAAGGACCATCACTCAACTAAAGCAAGCCTAACTCTGAAAGCCAGAGGTCCTAACCCAGATAGATATCTAACAATATATACGTAACACTCACAGCCAGCACTGGGGCTGAAAACAGTGGTGCTCAATTATCCTCATTTTGACAACAAACAGAAACTGACAACCTACAGGAAGACGGAATAAGCAACCAAATCCAGTTATTTTTGGTTTGTGCTACAAAGCAATGAATTGAGTCCGGCAACAAATAATCTACAGCTAATCCCAGCTGCTTCTGATTTTCACAGGTCCACAACTGAGGGGGAAGAACGAGAAAACAGAGTATTTGTTGGCAACAACAAAACAAAAAAACCTGGGAACCACATACAGAATAACTGGGAAGGAAGATAAAGCAGATCTCCCTATTGAAAGACACTTGGCCTGAAATAGTAGAAAATGAAGTCCAATTTTTTTTCTTTTTTTTTGTTTTGAGACATGGTCTTGATCTGTCCCCCAGGCTGGCTCATTGCAGACTCTATCTCCCAGGCTCAGGTGATCCTCCTACCTCAGCCTCCTGAGTAGCTGAGACTACAGTTGAATACCATCACACCCAGCTAATATTTTTTGTATTTTTTGTAGAAATGCCCTGGCTGGTCTCAAACTCCTGGCTTCAAACAATCTGCCTGCCTAGGCCTCCCAAAAGTGCTGGGATTACAGGTCTGAGCTACCACCCCACCCATTTATTTTCATTTCTATTCTTTTTCTGCATGTTTGATGAAAAATTTATAGTACTCAAAGAGTCT